ACTGGAAAATAACATGATGATGATAAGTCAGTACATATCAGTTATAACCATCAATGTTAATGGCCTTAATTCTCCAATCAAGAGAAATAGACTGAAAGAATGGATTAAGAAGCAAAATCCAACAATATGCTGTATACAAGAAACACACCTAGTTCAAAAAGAAATTCATAAACTGAAAGTTAAAGGACGGAAAACAGTCCTCCATGAGACTAGGGGTGGCTATCTTATTTGGAGACAAAGTAAATTTCAAATCAAATCTAATTAAGAGAGACAAAGATGGTCACTACATCCTTGTAAAGGGAATAATCCAAGAGGAAGAGATGACAATCATAAATACACATGCACCAAATACTAATGCCCCCAACTGTACAAAACAAATGTTAAGGAACATGAAAAACTAAAAAAGCACTAATACAATTGTACTGTAACAGATGGACAGATCATCTAGACAAAAATTCAACAACAAAATACTAGAACTGAATAAAGCTTTTGAACAAATGGATTTAACATGGCTACAGAGTGTTCCACCCCGCAAAATCAGAATATACGTTCTTCTTGGCTTCACATGGTCATGCTCCAAAATAGACCACAGGATAGCTCATAGAACATGCTTAAGTAAATGTAAAGGAGTTGAAGTTATCCCGTGTATATTATCAGACCATAGTGCAATTAAACTGGAGATCAATAACAAAAGAAACTGCAAGAACTTCACAAACACATGGAAATTGAATAACACTCTCTTGAATAACCAATGGGTCACAGAGGAACTTAAAGAAGAAATTAGACAGTTTTTACAATTTAATGATAATGCCAATACAACATACAGGAATCTATGGGACACAATGAAAGCAATTCTAGGAGGGAAATTTATAGCAGTGAATGCCCACACTAGAAATACAGAGCAAGCTCAAATAAACAATCTAATGCTTAATCTTAAGCTTCTAGAAAAATAAGAGCAAGACAAACCCAAAAGCTCTTATAAAGGAGGAAACTATAAAGATCAGAGAAGAAGTCAGTGCAATGGAGACTAAGAGAACAATACAAAAAAACAATGAATTGAAGAGTGGGTTTTTTGAAAGAGTAAATAAAATCGATAAACCCTTAGCAAGCCTTTTCAAAAAAAAGAGGAAAGACTAATATCTATGCAATTAGGAATAAAAAATGTAAAGTCACAGCAAATCCAGGAAAAATCCAGAGGATCATCAATATACTTGAAGAACCTGTGCTCTAATAAAATGGAAAACACAGAAGAAATGGGTAGATTTCTAGATACATATGAATTACCAAAGTTGAACAAAGAAGATATAAAAACTACAATCACCCCAACTATAATCAGTGTAATTGAAAATTTAATTAAAAATTTACCAACAAAGAAAAGCCTAGATCCTGATGGTTTTACTGCTGATTCTACAAAACATTTAGAGAAGAATTACTGCCATGAGTTTTGAAGCCTTTCAGTGAAATTGAAAGGGAAGCAATACTTCCAAATTCATTCCGGGAAGCAAGTGTTACTTTGATTCCAAAAGCAGGGAAAGAACCAACCAAGAAAGAGAACTACAGGATATTCTCACTAATGAATATAGATGCAAAAATCCTCAATAAGATACTGTCAAACAGAATACAGAAGATCATTCACCCTGACCAAATCAGATTTATTCAGGGATACAAGGACGGTTCAACATACGTAAATCCATAAATGTAATATACTATATTAACAGAGTCAAAGACACAAACCACATGATCATCTCAATAGAAGCAGAAAAAGCATTTGACTATATTCAACACCCATTCATGATAAAAACCCTGTAGAAAACTAGTATAGATGGTTTTTATCACAATTTGATAAAAGCTATCTATGAAAAACCAACAGCCAATATCATACTAAATGGTCAAAAACTGAAAACCTTTACACTAAAACCAAGAACAAGACAAGGATGTCCACAGCCACCAGTCCTGTTCAATATTGTTTTGGAAACATTAGCCACAGCAATTAGACAAGAGAAATAAATAAAAGCAATGAAAATAGCACAGGAAGGAGTTAAATTATTTCCTGATGATATGATACTCTACATAGAAGACCTAAAAAACTCTGCCAAAAGACTTCGTCTACACTTAATTGCCATATTCAGGAGAGTAGCTAGATACAAGGTCAACACTCATAAATAACAGAATCAATGAGAGAAATTAAAGAAACAATCTCTTTCAAATAGCATCCTAAAAAATGAAATACCTAGGAATCAATCTAACAAAGGAAGCAAAGGACTCTACATTGAGAACTACAAAACTCTGAAAAAAGAGATTGAAGAGGATATAAGAAAATGGAAAGATATCCCTTGTTCCTGGGTAGGAAGAACCAGTATAGTGAAAATGGCCATAGTTCCAAAACAGCTGTACAGATTGAATGCAATTCCGATTGAAATCCCAACAGTACATTTCATTGAACTAGAGAAAACAGTCCAAAGATTCATTTAGAAGAAGAAGAGACCTAGAATTTCAAAAGCCATATTAGGCAACAGAGACATGGCAGTGGGTATCACATCTCCAACTTGAATTTATACTACAAAGCCACCGTTATAAGCACAACATGGTACCGTCAAAGGAACAGACCCGAGGATCAGTGGAATAGATTCAAAGATGCAAAACAACTCCAGACATACTCAGCTACCACATCTTTGACAAAGGAGTCAACCATCTTCACTGGAGAAAACATCGCCTCTTTAATAAATGGTGTTGGAAAAACTGGATTTCAACTTCCCAAAGATTAAAACTAGACCACTCTCTTTTGCCATGCACTAAACTAAAATTGAAGTGGATTAAAGGTCTAAATATTAAAACAGAAATGCTAAACTTGCTGGAAGATAAGCTAGGTAGAACTCGTGAAGACACTGGCATAGGAAAACACTTTATGAACAAATCTTCAGTAGCATGGGAACTAGCACAAAGAATTGATAACTGGGATCTCATCTTACTAAAAACTTCTGCACTGTAATAGAAACCACCAACAGAGCTAAGAGACAACCTACAATGTGGGAAAAATTTTTATCAGCTGTTCCTCAGACAAAGGTCTACTATACAGAACATATAAAGAACTCAGAAAAGTCAGACCCCCAAATTTATAAACCCAATTCAAAAATGGGCATCTGAAATGAACAAACATTTCTCAGACAAAGAAATAAAAGCAACAAATAAATGTATGAAAAAATGTTCAAAATTACTGGTCATTTGAGAGATGCAGATGAAAACAGCACTGAGATTCCATCTCACCCCAGAAAGAATGGCTGCTGTTAAGAAACCAACCAACAACAAATGATGGCAGGGTTGTGGGGAGAAAGGAACCCTTCTCCATTGTTGGTGGGAGTGCAAACTGGTGCAACCACTGTAGAAATCATTATGGAGATACCTCAAAAACTAGGATTAGAGGTCCCATTTGACTAAGCTATTCCCCTGCTAGATATCTTCCCAAAAGAAAAGAATCATACCACAGTGATATATGCTCACTCATGTTTATAGCAGCACAGTTTGTAATAGCTAAAAGTTGGAAACAGCCTAATTGCCCATCAACTGGAGCCTGGGTAAAGAAGATTTGTTTTAATAAAATGGAGTACTACTCATCCATAAAGAATGAGAAACTAGTGACATACATAAGTGGATGAATATTGAGGACCTATTCTTAAGTGAGATTAATAGGACACACGTGTAAATAACGAATAGTTTCTCTGGTGTGGTAAACTGAAAGTGTAAATAAGAATCAAAATGTATAACTGATGTTGTGCAATAGGAAAAATCTAAAGATGTAGGGGAAGCTGGAGGGGTAGGGGAAAGCTAAGAAGAGAAAAGCAAAAATAAGATAAAAGGAAAAATGGAAACAAAGTATCTTTAAATAGGGGAGGGTGGAGGGGGTGAAAGGAGGGCAGGGGTGAGGGGAAAAATAAGAACCAAGACATACCATGTAAAGGTACAAGATCCCAGTGATGAATGTAACTTGTATACGTAAAATGTACCAATAAAGAAAAAGGGAAAAAATACACTGCAGGCTTTTAGAGAAACAATTCAAAATTCTCTGAGCTTGAAAAATTAGAGCTGAGCTAGACATTATTATCAGCTAAAATTTCATAATAAGAAATCAATAATAAGACTCAAGAGTATTCCTAGGACTCAAATGTTCTCAGAAGATGGGAGGAAAATTAGACGAATCCATCAGTGCTAGGTTTTGAAGTCTGGACATTGTTCTTTATATACTTACTTGGATAGGGGACTGATATTTTCAAGGTATTTATATCTATCTTTTTCCCATTGCTATAACAAAGCACTAGAGGCTGAATACATCATAAAGTGAAGAAAGCTATTTATCCTCACAGTTTGGGAGGAAGGAACGTCACAAAGTATGGCGGCAGCTCTGGTGAGTGGCTCTCGGGCTACCTCACACCATGGTGATAACATCATTGAAGAAGCCCATTCGAGAGACAGGGAAATCACAGATGACACAGGAAAAGCAGGGCAGTGCCTACTTACATTTTCATCACTACCCTCTTGTTAAGAACTAACCAGGATCACATGAGACCTACACTAATTCCTCCCTCAATGATACAATCTCCTCCCTGAAGCCTCCATCTCTTAAAGGGCCATCACTGTCACATTGAGGGTAAAAGGCAGCACCCTAGACATGTACTGAGGGAGAATCACCATTAATGAAGATCAGTGGAGTCACTCATGGAAGCCTTCTTTGAAGCCACAAATATCACCAAGTCAGAGCAAGAGTATGTAGTGCTACCTGAGAGGGAAGAATAATTTGAAAAGGACAATTGTGAATTCCAAGACGTGGTGACTTCTGGAATCTGAAAAACGACAATCACAGGTCACACTGGGAAAATGTGATTGTGGTACATGTGATGGTTAATCTTGATTGTGGGCCTGATTGGCTTGAGAGACCCTAAGGGACTCATAAAGCACATGTCAGAATGTTTGGATGGCTCGTGTGGATGTGGCCCTGGGGGTCGTACCTGTCTGTAACCTTTTCTTTCTTGCTTCCCCATGCTGTCTGCTTCCTGGACGTCGTGCGTGGAGGTGCCTTGCTCCACCAGACCCTTCTGTCAGTTTCTCTATCTTGGAACCAGCTGATCGTGGACTACAATTTCTGAAACTGTAAACCAAAATAAATATTTTCTCCTTTCATTGTGTATGACAGGTATTTTGTTCCAAAAACAGATTAATGCAATATCTCATATGCATGTTCTTTTTTTTTCCCCTTCTTTTTTTTCAGCTTTACTTGAGTTTATTGGTACATTTTAGGGATACAGTACAGTTACATTCATTGTTGGGATCTTGTACCTCTACATGACAAGTCTTGATTCTCATTTTTTCCTCTTACCTCTGCCCTCCCTTCACCCCCTCCTCCCCTCCCCATCTACAAACACTTTATTTTCATCTTTTCATTCTCTCACATTTTTTTCTTTTCCCTTTTTACTCTTCTCCTACCCATCCCACCTTCCCTACACCTTTAGCTCCTTCTTCCCATTTCTAAATGTCAGTAATCTTATTAGAATCTTATGCATTGTTCTGAATTGACTGAGGAACATTTAATTGAAACATAAGAGAAAAGAATGCAGACATTTGAAGTATGGGCTTTATTGTTAGATTGTGTGAAAACAAACTCCAGCTCCTTCCATAAGATCTAAATGGCTTCAATCACTTTCTATTAATCTTTCTTATTCATACACAGATATAATGATAATACCTAACACCACTGTTTATAAAATTAAAATGAACGTAAAATAATTGAAACATTCCTTGCACATAGCATATGTTCAATGAGTATTATGATTGTTATTAATAAATGTCAAAATGAAAGTTTCAAATTTAATAATGTGATTAATAGCCATAACTATGAAAGTTTAAATCCTATTCTGAAGATGAAGACACTAAATAAAAATGTTCATACAGAACAGGTCAAAAATTATAATTGGCAATAATGCATACTGCAAACATAAATAAAACCAGGAATGAAAATGCTCTTTCACACTATTGATGTTGACTCTCATTTTAACCAAAAAGCAATTGCCAACAAATAGGAAAAGTCATGACCACTCATGCAGAAAAGACAAACATTTATTGTTCTTACTTTTGTGCCAAATACATCCATTGTATTATGATCCCTCTTTATAAACTGGAACTTTGAAGTACAATTTCCCATAGTCAGATTTCTCAAAGACACACGATTTATAGGTGGCAGATTAAGCATGTGTATAAACTAACACCAGGACACAGATGCTTAGACCCTACACTGTACCTTGTAATCAAAACTGCATATATAGAAGTATACAAGAGTGTAGCTGAGTGACATTAGACAAGTCTTTTTAATGGTCCATCAAAACATAACAGCATGTGGAAGATAAGTTAGGTTGAACTCTCAAAAGCATTGGCATAGGAAAAGACTTTGTGAACAAATCCACAGTAGCATGGGAACTAACACAAAGAATCAACAACTGGGATCTCATCTTATTAACAAGCTACTGCACTGCAAGAGAAATCACCAACAGAGAAACAACCTACAATGTGGGGAAAAAACTTTAACAGCTGTTCCTCAGACAAAGGTCTACTCTCTGGAGTATATAAAGAGCTCAAAAAATCAGTCTCCCAAAATACAAAGATCTAGTTAAAAAATGGGCATCTGAAATGAGCAGATATTTCTCAGACAAAGAAGTAAAAACAGAAAATAAATATATGAAAAAATGTTCAACATCACTGGACATTTGAAAATGTCTTTTTTTTGGGGGGGGTACCAGGGATCGAACTCAGGTCTTTGCACTTAGCAAGTCAGGCGGTGGAACCACTGAGTTAAATCCCTGGCCCCATCACTGGACATTTGAGAAATGCAGATGAAAACAACACTGAGATTCCACCTCACCCCAGAAAGAATGGGTGCTATCAAGAAACCAACCAATAACAAATGTTGGTGGGCCAGGCGTGGTGGCACATGCCTGTAATCCCAGCAGTAGGGAGTTTGAGGCTGATGGATCACTGTGCATTTGAGACCAGCCTGGGCTACATAGTGAGCTCCAGGTCAGTCTCAACTACACAGTGAGACCCTGTCTCAAAAAAAAAAAAAAAAAGGTTGGCAAGGTTGTGAGGAGAAAGGAACCCTTCTCCATTAATGGTGGGAGTGCAGAGTGGCGCACCACTGTGGAGATCAATATGGAGATACCTCAAAAACTAAGATTAGAGGTCCCATTTTACTGAGGAATCCCTCCACTGGATTTCTTTCCAAAAGAATTGAAAGAATCATATCACAGCAACATATGCACACCCATGTTTATAGCGGCACAGTATGTAATACTTGGAAACAGGCAATTGTCCATCACTTGGAGTTTGGATAAAGAAGATGTGCTTTTTTTAATAAAATGGAGTACTACTCAGCCATAAAGAATGAGAAACTAGAGACATTTATAGTTAAATGGATGCACATTGGGGCCATACCCTTAAGTGAAATAAATAGAACACACATGTGTAAATACTGAATAGTTTCCCTGGCATGAAAAACTGTAAGTGTAAAAAAGCTTCAAATTGTATAATTGATAAAGTGAAATAGGAAGGAAAGGGCTAAAGGAGTTGAGGAAGTGGGAAGGGTAGGGGAAAGGAAGAAGGGAAGAGAAAGACTAAGAGAAAAGGAAAATGGTAACAAAGTCTTTTAAATATGGAAGGGTGGAAGAGGTGAATGAGGGCAGGGGAATGGGAAAAAAACAAGAATCAAGATCCATCATGCAAAGGTGCAAGATCCCAATGATGAGTGTAACTGTACTGTATGCGTAAAAAGTACCAATATATTTAATGAAAAAGAAATAACAGCATGGTGGCTTCAAGAAGATAATGTATACAACCTTATACTAAGTATATTGAGATATCTTAATATTTAAACAACTCATCTCAACTTGCTCATAATAAGAAGGCAGTTTAAACTTCATCCACAGCATTTAACAATTTAAGTTATTTCTTCTTCAATGGACCTGCAGCTTAGCAAACATTTAATATGCAGAGAAAAAGTTTTAGTTCACAGGAAAAACATCGGAGACCCTACAGGCACAACTGAAATATAATTCTGCTGAAGTGTGTAAATAATAATACAAATGATGACCCCAGAGAATTTTATAATATTTTTGTCTATGTACACTGCCTTTTCTTGAAATGTCTCAGTGGACTACATTATGAATCATAATTATAATCAAGCTTCAGAACATCCCACAGAGTTAGTTGACATTTTTAATGCTAGAGGTAGTAGGAGGAATATTAATTTTTCAAGGTCACTCAAGGAGTCAGAGGCTAAAATAAGAATAGAATAAAAGAATTCTAACTCAAGTCATCTGATAAATATAACCACAGGCATAAAAAGGCTTTGTCAAAGAAGTTTAAAATGTCAGAATTCATAATTGAAAAAGGAAACATACCACTGGGAGGACAAACAAAGCAACTTTGAAAATTTTAATTTGGAACTGTTTAAAAATATTCCTACCTCTGTGTTCACCACATGCATCACAATGCTCCATAATATGCTTTAAAATAATAAAAAAAGTTTTGAGAAAAGCAATACATATCTTCTAAATATCAGATTTCTAAATAAAGTGATAAAGAATCACATAAAGAGTTATGCATGAATATTTAGGGGGGCCAGGGGCAGAATGTTATGGCTAGTGTTTAGATGACCCCCAAAGTCTCATGCAGTCATAGTTGGGGCTTTTTCAGAGGTAGCTTGTTCTAGAGTGTGTAATGCCAGAATTAATCCATGCAGCAATTCTAGGATCAAGGTCATTAAAATCAGTGTGTGAGTGCTACCTGCCCTAAATAGCCTGGATAAGATATAAGAGATAGAAAGAGCTGTGGTTATTCCTTATTGCTTTGCTGCCTTCAGCCCACCATGAACTATTTCTCCTCTGAGATGCCACCCTTCCTTGAAGCCTGAGGATTAAGGACTGAAACTTCTACAAACTGTGAGCTAAATAAAACTTTCTTCTTTTAATTTGGGTGTCTGGTATTTTATCTCAGCAATGAGAAAAGTTACTAAAACACACAGGTTATAACTTTTTCACCATAAATAATAAGTTGTTTCTCTTTTGTTTTGCATAGATACTTATAAGAAACATAGCTACCATCAAATCATGACTTACACAAATTATCTCTAAGTGATATCCCAATTCTGTGCTTCTATCTCATTTTATTTGATGAAATGAGTGTCAGATAATGAAAGTTCATAAGAGTGGAGATTACAGGGAATAAATGTGATTGCTGCAACAGTCCAATGTCCTAAAAAGACAGAAAGAAATGTCAGAGAAATTCTCTGAATAAAGTAATTTTCAGCATAATATCTTTTCATCTCTAGTCAGTTTGTAATCAGTTCAATTTCTCCTGATATTCTTTGGAGGACAAGAAGTCAAACCATTTTGTAGCTCTCTGCAAAAAAAACCCATTTTCACCCCAAAAATATGCCTTATACTTAATCCTTGCATTAACAAAATGCAATGTTCAACACTAAAATCTATTCAGTGGTGTCAAATAGAAAACATACTTTAATCCATCAGTAAATAAAATAATATTAAGTAACATTTGTGAAGCAATTTCCATGCGAGGAGACCAAGTAAGCTTTTACATACTATTGGGAGTGTTTGCATGGTGTGGCAAAAACACTGACAATGGAGTTATTCTGTTGATTTTAATAAATCGATCTAATTATTTGCAAATGTTCCATATCCAAATAAATCCTTAAATCATATGAGGAACTTCTTTAGAGCCACAAATACACTTGCTATTGCCATGATTTTTGCTTTTCTAACTCTGCTCACGATCAGTCCTTAAAAATATTAAAAGTAGCATTAAAGTTTGATCAGTGTGGTAGGCAGAATCCATGATTAGTATTCTAGCCTTCTAATATACACACCTGGTACAACCTGCTCCCCTTGAGTCAGGTAAGGTCTATGGATGGGATACTACTCCTGTTAATTGGGTATGTTATCTGGAAAACGAGGGAACTTTTGAAACAGTAATTAAAATACCTTATCAGCTGACTTTACTTTAATCGAAACAGAGATTATCCTAAAAGGACTGAGTAAATCAAGAAAGCCCCTTAAAGAGCCCGAAAGCAATGGAGGGATTCCAGAAGTCAGAGTAACTCAAATCAGAACATCAGGTCTATCACTTCAGTGAACTGAATTCTGGCAAAAACAGTAAGTACTGAGAAGTTCAGGCCATAGAGGGGAGTACAGACTTGGCTGACACCTTGATTTCCAGCATGGGAGGAACTGTACTGTTATATTGAAACACAGTAAATGCATTTGGGCTCCTTGAAACTACTAAATTGTAGCAGTTTGTTACTAAACCATGGAAACTAATATAACCAGTAATTTAATTTTCTCTGTAGTTCTAAAGTGTTGAAGTTGTTTTGTAACCCGAACACACCTCTATTCTCATTCATTTCATGAAATACATGGAAATACAATTTTGTTCTTATAATTCAGATAGAAAAGGCTACTAAGTTAAATGAATTTCATATAATTAGGCTCTTTCTCCCTATAAGAGTATGTACTTAACAAGAAGCATAATATAGGTATTTTATCTTAAATTTTGAATAATTTTAAAATATGGTTCCGTTGTGTTTTTGCTATATAGTATTGCGAGAAAAGAATAGAACCAATCTTAACTGAGATTATAATCTGACTGGCAAGAGGTAAATAACCTCAAATTTAGAAAATAGCTTCACATATAAATACTAAACAGTTGTAACATTCATTGAAATCCCCATTTTCTTTCACTTACTTGTACTGTGTGACTAGAGAAATCAAGCCTTTGCCTCTTATTGAAGTAGTCATGTAAGGGCTCTGCCTATTGAGATTTAAACAGATGTCTGCTTACCTACTCAGTCTGTTTATACCTTTCCAGAATGTAGATTTTATATTTGGAAATGTAATCACCATTTTGTAGCTACAAGTGAGACTCCAAGCCTTTTTGCAAATACATCATTTATCATTATATTTATTTTAAGTGGGATAAAAATTTATTCGTTAAGGCTGATGTTAGTTGGGTTTTCTTCTGCATGGAGCTCAAATTTTCATAACTGCAAGATCTCTCCATTTCACAAGATACTGTTCATTCAGATAGAATTGAGCCCAAGAGTCTCATAATCTATGCATACTTGAAATTCTAACAAGTTGGAAGGCAGCACAGGATGAGTAAACCTCACATCCTTCCCTATTCTCTTGTCTCTTTATTTATGAATGCTAAACATTCGTGGCTGATTTATTTCTATGTACTTTTTTAGCCTGAGAAAGAATAGGAGATGTCATAGAGGAAAAATCAGTTAATTTGGTCACATAAAATATAACCTATGATATTTTAAAAACAAAAATGAGAAAAGTTTTTAGCAGTAGCTATTGAAAACATCTGTTAAATTGTTCTGTTTCTTATATCAAGTTTTTGTTTACTCCTCATTCAAAAATAAAATGTAAAGTACCTTCAGAAAGGTACATTTTTAGTAGTGATTAGTAGATCAAACCCTTATATTAATAAAATATCTGGTAAAACTAAAACTAGAATTAGAAAGAAAACACTAATATTCTGTGTAATAACAAATGGCATCCATGTTTAAGTGAAACTTTTAGCTTCTTTTTGAAATCAGGGTACAACAATCAGTTTCAGATCCATATCCATTATCAGTCATTCAGAAGCCACACAGTTTTTATTTCAGAGATCCAAGGGAATTTCATTCTCATTTAGGACATACTGTATTTTGCTTGTACATCATTTTAGACAGCATCCATTCATTAAAACCAAAAGCTCATTTCTAATACTAGTTCTCCTAAAGCAATTTAAAACAGCAATTCATCAAATAGCTTTGCATATAAAGACCTTACTAAGTCAATAAAGAAAATATTAAAACTCAAAAAGAAAAAAATGGCCAAGAATATGAATATGTAAATTTTACACTGAAGACACGAGATACTTTAAATGCAGAAAATGACTAGCCACGACAGCAACAAGGTATGCAAATTAATTCAAGAAGACAGCTGTTCCTATTACTACTGGTTTTATTAGAAATAATAACCTGTATTGACCACTGAATAAAGGGATTCATTCAGTTTCTCTTGCAGAGCAAATTGTTTTCTTTGGGAGGCATAATTTGCCACATGAATTTAGGAGCCTTAACATTCTTATCTTTTGACCCAAGAATTCACATGAGGAAATTTCTTTACATCAGTTTTACATACGGTGTTTTGTCTCAAACCATCCTTTCTGATCTTCCTTCCTTCCTCACATTTACAAGGATCTCAAAATTCCCGAGACTGAACCAAGTAAGGTTACTGACATAAAGGCAGGGTGCCACATTTAATTTCAGAAGTGCAAACGATGTAGAAGTTCATCCAAAGTTGAATAAAGGAGGTGAACCCATGCTTGTACATTAGAACCTAAGATTCAGGGAATCAGACTGACAGGATCAGTAAAAGTGAGACCAGGTTTAATAATTTATTTGAGTTCTCACATTCTTTTGACAAAAATGATGCAGATGAAGCTGATAACATATGATTCAATTCCAACTCATTTGTTAAAACATGCTAGCAAAGAAAGAAAGGAAAAAATTCCCTTGATTCAATTTACTCCAAGGAATTGTCTCTTTTCACTGATTCACTATTTTCCTCTCAACTCACTCTGACAGTGCATTTATTCCTTGTTAATTTTTATTAATACATGTTTTCAGTACAAATGATTACATTTGCTGTAGGGAAATTGTACAGGTACCTAACACATTTCACTTCATTTGTTTTCCCCTTCATCACCTTTTTCCTTTTCCAGAATCAATTTCATTTATTTACCATATAAGACCTTATAAAATTAATTATCATATATATAGATCGAAAATCAGACTAATAGGCCAAATAGTACATAAAACGTGTAAGACTATTGTACGAAGTCAAGGTATTCTATTAGATACATTGCCTGTCTGGGATTACAATCTCTCTCTCTCTTTGTCTCTCTCTGCTTCTCTCTCTCTCTCTCTCTGGAGCTCTCTCTTCATGGCTCTCTCTCTCTCTCTCTCTCTCTCTCTACCTTTTTGGGGCATGGAGAGAGAGAGAGAGAGATTTCATATAAGACAAATAATGCAATATTAAAGCTCATGTGCCTCTATTACTTAACAGTATGACTTCTAGGCACATCTGTTTTTCTCCAAAATACTGATATGTACCCTTCTTTATGTCACAGTAGTACTCCACTGTACATAAATTCCACATTTTATCCATTCTTCTGTGGATGGACATATGTGCTATTTCCAAGATGTAGCTATTATCTACTGCACTGTTATAAACATAAGTATGCAATCCTCACTGTGGTATAATGCCTTTTAACTCTTCCGGGCAGATAGCTAGAAGGGGACTGGCTGAGTCCGTGAAATTTCTACCTTTAGTTTTTTGAAGAATCTCCACACTGATTTCCATAGTGGCTGTATCAGCTTTCGCTCCCACCAACCATGAAAGGTTCTTTTCTCCCTACAGATTTACCAGCATTTGTTATTGGTTGTTCTCTTGATGATAGCCATTCTTTCTGGAGTGAGATGTAATCTCAATGTTGTTTTAATTTGCATTCTCAAATGGCTAACATTGAACATTTTTCATGTATTTATTGACCCTTGTATTTCTTCATCTGATAAGTGTCTATTCATTTCAAATGTATGAATTCCTTTGGAATCTCTCTTTTAAGATCACCAATAATCTCCATTTTGCCAAGTCACAGGCATGCAAAAATGACTTTCCACTCACATTCTCAGTGGCATGGACACAGCTGACTACTGCTTCTTTGAAACACTTTCTTGTCTTTGCTCAGTGAATACACCCTTTGTTTTTCTTCTGTCTAAAAGGCATTTGTCCATCTACTGAATGAATAAATAAATACATAAATTTTACATAGGGCTAATGAGAAAGATATTTCAGGAAGGGTGCAGCTTTAGATTTTTGACAAGTTTTATAAGCAGTTGGGACAGGTACTACAGAATTCCATTTAGAGAGTGTTCTTCATATTTCAGAACAAAGGATAGCAATTAAGACTTGGTATTTAACCACTGAATTTGTGATGAGTTGAATTTTTTACACGAAGAACATTCAACTTTTTCTGAGAACACAAAAAATTAAAATGCTTGAAGATAGTTCAAATATACCTTTAATATTCTTTTTTTCAGCTTTAATTGAGTTTATTGGTTCATTTTAGGGATACAGTACAGTTACATTCATTGTTGGGATCTTGTACCTCCACATGACAAGTCT